TGTGTGTGTGTGTGTGTGTGTGTGTGTGTGTGTGTGTGTGTGTGTGTGTGTGTGTGTGTGTGTGTGTGTGTGTGTGTGTGTGTGTGTGTGTGTGTGTGTGTGTGTGTGTGTGTGTGTGTGTGTGTGTATGTGTGTGTGTGTGTGTGTGTGTGTGTGTGTGTGTGTGTGTGTGTGTGTGCTGCTGCTGCTCGGTGGATTAATCCTGCAGATAAAAGTTTCTCTGAGTTCAAGGCCGAGGCTCAGATCCTGGATTAGGATCTGAAGACTTCATCTGGTCTGAGGAGAAACAAAAGAACCAGAGTAAAAATCACAAAACCAAAAAATGTGAAATGAAGAAGAAAAAAACCTGTATAAGTCACTTTTTGGGGAAATGTGTTTAATAAAACCAGAGACATTTCATCTTAAAAGTCAAGTTCTAGTAAAAACAGATGTTGTGATGTATGTGTGTATAGTATGTGTTCACACTAGTGTGTATGTGAGTGGTGTTGTGTGTACAGTGTTGTTCACACTAGTGTGTATGTGAGTGGTGTTGTTGTGTGTACAGTGTTGTTCACACTAGTGTGTATGTGAGTGGTGGTGTTGTGTGTACAGTGTTGTTCACACTAGTGTGTATGTGAGTGGTGTTGTTGTGTGTACAGTGTTGTTCACACTAGTGTGTATGTGAGTGGTGTTGTTGTGTGTACAGTGTTGTTCACACTAGTGTGTATGTGAGTGGTGTTGTGTGTACAGTGTTGTTCACACTAGTGTGTATGTGAGTGGTGGTGTTGTGTGTACAGTGTTGTTCACACTAGTGTGTATGTGAGTGGTGGTGTTGTGTGTACAGTGTTGTTCACACTAGTGTGTATGTGAGTGGTGTTGTTGTGTGTACAGTGTTGTTCACACTAGTGTGTATGTGAGTGGTGGTGTTGTGTGTACAGTGTTGTTCACACTAGTGTGTATGTGAGTGGTGTTGTTGTGTGTACAGTGTTGTTCACACTAGTGTGTATGTGAGTGGTGTTGTTGTGTGTACAGTGTTGTTCACACTAGTGTGTATGTGAGTGGTGTTGTGTGTGTACAGTGTTGTTCACACTAGTGTGTATGTGAGTGGTGTTGTGTGTACAGTGTTGTTCACACTAGTGTGTATGTGAGTGGTGTTGTTGTGTGTACAGTGTTGTTCACACTAGTGTGTATGTGAGTGGTGGTGTTGTGTGTACAGTGTTGTTCACACTAGTGTGTATGTGAGTGGTGTTGTTGTGTGTACAGTGTTGTTCACACTAGTGTGTATGTGAGTGGTGTTGTTGTGTGTACAGTGTTGTTCACACTAGTGTGTATGTGAGTGGTGGTGTTGTGTGTACAGTGTTGTTCACACTAGTGTGTATGTGAGTGGTGGTGTTGTGTGTACAGTGTTGTTCACACTAGTGTGTATGTGAGTGGTGTTGTGTGTACAGTGTTGTTCACACTAGTGTGTATGTGAGTGGTGTTGTTGTGTGTACAGTGTTGTTCACACTAGTGTGTATGTGAGTGGTGTTGTTGTGTGTACAGTGTTGTTCACACTAGTGTGTATGTGAGTGGTGTTGTTGTGTGTACAGTGTTGTTCACACTAGTGTGTATGTGAGTGGTGTTGTTGTGTGTACAGTGTTTGTTCACACTAGTGTGTATGTGAGTGGTGTTGTGTGTACAGTGTTGTTCACACTAGTGTGTATGTGAGTGGTGTTGTGTGTACAGTGTTGTTCACACTAGTGTGTATGTGAGTGGTGTTGTGTGTACAGTGTTGTTCACACTAGTGTGTATGTGACTCGCTCCTTCTGATTCTCTGGGTTTGTGACTCTGTTGTGGAAAACAGTTTAAATAAACCAGAGACAAACTGAAACATCCGAGACACAAACACTTGTGAGAACAGCTCCACAGAGAGAACACCCCTCTGACACAGAGAGAACACCCCTCTGACACAGAGAGAACACCCCTCTGACACAGAGAGAACACCCCTCTGTCACAGAGAGAAACACCCCTCTGTCACACAGAGAGAACACCCCTCTGTCACAGAGAGAACACCCCTCTGTCACACAGAGAGAACACCCCTCTGTCACAGAGAGAACACCCCTCTGACACAGAGAGAACACCCCTCTGACACAGAGAGAACACCCCTCTGTCACAGAGAGAACACCCCTCTGTCACAGAGAGAGAAACACCCCTCTGTCACAGAGAGAACACCCCTCTGTCACAGAGAGAGAACACCCCTCTGACACAGAGAGAAACACCCCTCTGTCACAGAGAGAACACCCCTCTGACACAGAGAGAACACCCCTCTGTCACAGAGAGAACACCCCTCTGACACACAGAGAGAACACCCCTCTGTCACAGAGAGAACACCCCTCTGTCACACAGAGAGAACACCCCTCTGACACACAGAGAGAACACCCTCTGACACAGAGAGAAACACCCCTCTGACACACAGAGAGAACACCCCTCTGACACACAGAGAGAACACCCCTCTGTCACAGAGAGAGAACACCCCTCTGTCACAGAGAGAGAACACCCCTCTGACACTGACACAGAGAGAACACCCCTCTGTCACACAGAGAGAACACCCCTCTGACACACACCCCTCTCACAGAGAGAACACCCCTCTGACACACAGAGAGAACACCCCTCTGTCACAGAGAGAACACCCCTCTGACACAGAGAGAAACACCCTCTGTCACACAGAGAGAACACCCCTCTGTCACACAGAGAGAACACCCCTCTGACACACAGAGAGAACACCCCTCTGTCACAGAGAGAACACCCCTCTGTCACAGAGAGAACACCCCTCTGTCACACAGAGAGAGAACACCCCTCTGTCACAGAGAGAACACCCCTCTGACACAGAGAGAACACCCTCTGACACACCCCTCTGACACAGAGAGAACACCCCTCTGACACAGAGAGAACACCCCTCTGTCACACAGAGAGAACACCCCTCTGACACAGACAGAACACTCATATTCCACTGAGTCTCTGTGTCCTTTAGTCCAACACAAACTGAACCACATCAGACACAAGGAAACATCTGATCTTTTCATGTCTGAACCACACAGATGTGATGTTTTCACATGTGACCAGGACACTTGGATCTGTGCTCCTGAAACTGATCCATATCTGATCTTTAACATGTGACTTGAGTGTGAACAGTCAGGTCACATTCATCCACCTACACGTCATCAACAAGACACAAACGTCACTATTCTGCACTGAAGTAGAGAAAACTGTTCATGATCCATGTGACTGAAGTGAAGCACATCTCCACTCACCACAAAACACCACCACCAAAAACCTGCTCCTTCTCCTTCTCAATCTCCTCCTTAAAACAAGTCAGTTGTTCATGTTGTGGCTCCGGTACGAGAGGAACTTTAAAATCTCCAGGTGCTCGATGCTGCGTCCATGTTTGTTCAACTTGTGTAAACACAGAGACGCTCGCTGCGGTTGACGTCGTCGTGTCTCCAGTGTCACATGTGGGACACTTTTGGACCGTTTAATGTTCACACTGGAGTCACATACAAGTCACATTTAACTGGAAATGTGAACGACCTCGAAAAAACATCAGATTTCACAAAAAAATCTGAATTGAGCGTTAAACCTGCAGACTGAACGTAGACTTATAGTCTGAAAAATACAGGTAAAGTGAGTTTGAATTTACTCACGTTTTTACTTTGTTGTCACAAAACCCGACTTCAATACTAAGAAACAGATTCAGTTATAAAAAACAACTCTTTTTTTAGACACAGAATGTGATTTTCCACATTAAACGTTGGTACTTTCTTTCCTTTTCCCATGTGGCTTTATATAAAACTATCAAACTTATCCCAGCGTCTTCCAAGTCGCTCACCGAGGGAGTTTGGAATTACACCGATGTGTTGCGTAACAAAAATGTGGTTAATTACTCGACTATTACGGCTGCATGTGTCATTCTGGAGCAAAACTTTACACACGAATAAACAGACGCTGGTTTGTGTTTAGAACAGGAGCTCACAGTTTTACAGCCTGAGCCAATTTCAAATGACCAGAATGATTCACATACCACAAAACCAAACAAACGGTTCTGCTCAGAAACACTCTGCGCCGCCGTTTTGGACCCTCACCCACACGCAGTGAGGCGGCTGAGTGGTTAAACACTCATGCCTCACAGCAAGAAGGTCCTGGGTTCACCTGGGTCTTTCTGTGTGGAGTTTGTGTTTCTCCTCATGTCTGGATGAGTTTCCTCCAGTTTCCCCCATGAACACAAAACCTGCTCCAGGTCCATGAACACAAAACCTGCTCCAGGTCCATGAACACAAAACCTGCTCCAGGTCCATGAACACAAAACCTGCTCCAGGTCCATGAACACAAAACCTGCTCCATGAACACAAAACCTGCTCCAGGTCCATGAACACAAAACCTGCTCCAGGTCCATGAACACAAAACCTGCTCCAGGTCCATGAACACAAAACCTGCTCCAGGTCCATGAACACAAAACCTGCTCCAGGTCCATGAACACAAAACCTGCTCCAGGTCCAGAACACAAAACCTGCTCCAGGTCCATGAACACAAAACCTGCTCCAGGTCCATGAACACAAAACCTGCTCCAGGTCCATGAACACAAAACCTGCTCCAGGTCCAGAACAGAACAGTTGATGGTCAAGGTCAGTTAAACACAATCAATTCAATCATTGTGTCCTTAGGCAAGACACTTCACACACATTGTCTAATATGAAAGTGGTGTGTGTGTGTGTGTGTGTGTGTGTTGTGTGTTGTGTGTGTATGTGTGTGTGTGTATGTGTGTGTGTGTGGTCGGAGGGACCGATGGCGCCGATTGACATGGCAGCTGTTTTTTGAGTTTCATCTGGAGTTACTTTCTCTTTCTGATTCTGCAGTGGGATTTATCCTCTGCACATTTATCAAACCAAACACACGTGACAAACACAGATACATTTGTGAACTTTTATTAGACAAACTTCATCCACACGTGTCTGTAGATCTGTTCTCTGCTCTGGGCTCCTCCACAGGAAGCGGCGAGTGGGAGAGACACTCAGAAAACCTCCATCTGGACCGTTTTCCTGCAGGACCCAAAATAGAATCTTCAGAGTCTCGTCCCAATCTCGTCCTGGTCACTTTTTCCTCCGTCTGAGCTCAGGGTTTCCTCCACTGACGTCATTCTCCCCAAATCTGGACTAATCTCTGCTCTGGTCTCTGGTCTCTGGTCTCTGGTCTCTGGTCTCTGGTCTCTGGTCTGGTCTCTGGTCTCTGGTCTCTGGTCTCTGGTCCCTGGTCCCTGGTCTCTGGTCTCTGGTCTCTGGTCTCTGGTCTCTGGTCTCTGGTCTCTGGTCTCTGGTCTCTGGTCTCTGGTCTCTGGTCTCTGGTCTCTGGTCTCTGGTCCCTGGTCCCTGGTCTCTGGTCTCTGGTCTCTGGTCTCTGGTCTCTGGTCTCTGGTCTCTGGTCTCTGGTCCTCTGGTCCCTGGTCTAGTCTCTAGTCTCTGGTCTCTGGTCTCTGGTCTCTGGTCTCTGGTCTCTGGTCTCTGGTCTCTGGTCTCTGGTCCCTGGTCTCGTCTCTGGTCTCTGGTCTCTGGTCCCTGGTCTTGTCTGTCTCTGTCTCTGGTCTCTGGTCTCTGGTCCCTGGCCCTGGTCTAGTCTCTGGTCTCTGGTCTCTGGTCTCTGGTCCCTGGTCTAGTCTCTAGTCTCTGGTCTCTGGTCTCTGGTCTCTGGTCTCTGGTCTGGTCTCTGGTCTGGTCTCTGGTCTCTGGACTCTGATCTGGTTTTAAGTCTTCTTCCCAGAGTCCAGGTCGGAGTCTCTGTTCGGTCTAGTCTGCCTCTAGTCCTGGTATAATCCAGGTTTAGTACTTGTTTAGTCCTGATTTAGTCCTGGTCTGTCTCTGGTGGGTCTCTTTGAGTTCTTGGTTTAGTTTTGGTTTAATCCTCACAATCATAAAGTATAAAACCTCCTGTAATTGAACAAATAACAATAATAATAATAATAACAATAATAACACTCATATCCACGTCACATGATCAAATGTTGTGTCCCGGTTTCTTGACATAATCTTACAAATGCACAAGCGCAAAAATGAACTTAAATCAATTTCATAAACCAGGAAAAATACAAACCGTGAGCTGCTTTAGCGTCAGAAGCTCAGGAGCTACGAGACTCACAATCCACTGCACAGAATCAATCAACTCAACTTTACAACATATAAACCATAAACACTATAGACACATCAGCCAGTTTGATCAGATCAATCAGCTCTGATCACATTTGTTTACGTTTTACAGAAACGAAACTTAAAGTTTGTATGGAGGATGTTTTTTGTTTCAAGTTGTCAGTGATAGATTATAGATGCAGTCGCCTTGTAATTATGATGACCAAAAAAAGAGAATAAAAATTCATCAACTCTGGACGTGGTGGGGCTAAACATTTGCCAATAGATAACGACACTGCCTCGTTATCTGTGAGCTGACAGGCTGTCAATCAAACTCCCTACGTTTCTAGTGTAACTGACTTGCCTGCGCCGCCGGTACGTGGTTTACGTACGACTGTCACACAGTCCACAGACGCAAGACGCACAGACGCTGTTTACTCCACCAACGCAACAGTTAATGAACATAAACTGTTAGCGGTGATAAAATCAGCTGCTCCTTGTCCCGCTGATTCGATTCAGCTTCTGTGGGACTAAATGACTCGACTCTGTGGATTATGTGAGTTGTTTTTGTGACAGAAGAGGTGCTGATGATGGTGAGTCTGTTCTGTGTGTGTGTTTACAGGAGATAGTTCATGTTTTAGTTTTTCAGCGTCACACGAGTGCAGGTTGTACATGTGCAGGTTTAGTGCAGCTCTTTATTTTACAGTCATTTCACTCGTTTGGACAATTTATTTATGTCTCTACTGTTGTGGTGAAAGGCTGGAAAGTGTCTTTTGGACGCATGTGACTCAACTTTATGTTGCAGTAACCGGGAATACTGCGTTTACATGTCACAGTATCACAGTTACTATCAGAATAAACCAGCTACAGTAACTCGGTTTCTACTAACCTGGACACTGAAACCAGGTTACTGCGTTTACATGAACCATGAAGAAACCGGGAAACTCAAAAAACCCGATCATAAGCGGGTTATTGATGTGCATGTGAACACACTGACAAACAAGAGAAAAGACAGTTAATGAAAGGTTTTTTTAAAGAGAGTTGGTTTTCAGGGCTTTTTTTTAAACATGGGGAGTGTGGATGAGTCTCTGATGTGTTTGGGCAGACAGTTCCAGAGGTGGGGGCAGCGGCGGAGAAGAAGGCCCGTCCCCCCCGAGGTCTTATGTTTAGTCCTGCTGGGGGGAGACAGGAGGTTGGCGTCGGCTGATCGGAGGACACGGGCGGGGGTGTGGTGGTGGAGCTCAGAGAGGCGGGGGGGGGGGCAGGTTGTGGAGGGACTTGTACACGATGGTGAGGAGTTTGAACTGAATGTTCCGAGGGATGGGGCCGGTGGAGAGGACAGGGGCGATGTGTTCACAGGAGGAGGCGGGGAGGCAGCAGAGTTCTGGATGTACTGGAGTCTGTTGAGGAGTTTGGAGGCTGAACCGTAGAGCAGATGGACTGAGGGGAGAGGGACGGGCGGAGGCGAGCGATGTTCCGGAGGTGACAGAAGGTGGTTTTGGTGATGTGTTTGACGTGGCGTTCAAAGGAAAGGGTCTGGTCAAAGAGGCCGCCGAGGTTACGGAGGCGGGAGGAGGAGGAGGAGACTGAGGAGCCGTCAGTGGAGAGGGAGAGGTTATTGTGAGCCTGGTGAGTGTTTTGGGGCCGATAATGATTATTTCAGTTTTGCTGCAGTTGAGTTGGAGGAAGTTTAAGTGTAGCCAGGACTTTATTTCGGAGATGCAGTTTGTGAGGGTGTAAAGTGTGGCCGAGGTTATGGTTTAAATGTAAAGTCGTCAGAGTTGTTCACACTTTTCATGAATTAGTTCAAAGTTCAGTTCATTTTTTTTTAAACTTATTTTTCAAACAGACTTCCAGTTTACAACAACTTTACAACATATAAACATAAACTCTAGATCCACATCAGCCCGTGTGACTTTATCATGTGTTTAATGTGTTTAAGGTGCAACTTTGACACATTCGTCTTACAGAAGTGAAAACTTTAAACCACACGGTTCATTTGCATAAACTGAGCTGATGCATCAGTTTCTGTCGGACTGAAGGACACGACTGTGTGTGTGTGTGTGTGTGTGTGAGTGTGTGTGTGTGTGTGTGTGTGTATGAGAACATCTACTGTTGTGTTTGTGTGTTTCCATCAGCAGATCTGTGTCGTGTGAACAGAAACACTCTTATTAGAGTTTTTAAATTAACTTCTGTAACAGTGTGTTTGCTGTGGTGAGTGTGGACAGAAGGTAAATCCAATGTGTTCTGTTCGTTTCTCTGTGGACCTGATACAAACGACTAAACGCCTCAGTCGAGTTTGATCGACTTTACACGGACAAACCCAGAGTCAGTGCTGCGCGTGTTGGTCCTGCTGCAGCTGCAGCTGGAGTCGTGTTTGTGTTGACGCTCGACTGTGGTTTCACGATGTTACGTGCGAAAACACTGACGAGCGCCTTGTCACTCGACTCATCAGGTGAAAACAAATCCTGACGTTTAATTGACCCCAACAGTGACGTCGTTCATCTCACAGAATCTGAACAAATTCACGTTCAAGTTCTTGATTTACAAATGTGTCGCGTTCAGTTCAAAGTTCACTGAAAATGAACGTGTTCAGTGAATGTTCCTTTGAACTCGTTCATACACAAGTTCCTCGTTCGTTTCCTGTTTTTTCTCATTTCGTTTGTGTTTCAGTTTAATATTGTAAATCTCAGAAAATTTGCATTCACACCTACCCCCTATCCCCGCCCACAGCTCTGCATTTTCTTTGCATTTTTTTTGTTTTGTTTTCTTTTTGTTTTCTTTACGTTTTTTTTTTGTTTTTTTTTTTTTTTTTTTTCTTTGTGTTTTCTTTTGTTTTCTTTGTGTTTTCTTTTTGTTTCTTTTGTTTTCTTTGTGTTTTCTTTGTGTTTTCTCCTTGTGTCTTTGAGCTTCGTCCATGAAACTTTCTTATGGACAAATTTGTACTTAAGTTTTTTTTTTCCTTATGAACATTTTTGTTCATTCACAGAACTTTTTCTTAACTGGAAATGTTCTTCCGGAAAAACAAATCCTCCAAACAGTCAGGAGCACTCGTAACAACAAAAATTCTACAGTTTTAGAATATTTTTTCTCTGAAAACGTAACAAAAAATTCTACTTCCTCCATGACTGAAAGTGATATATTTTCTTAAATTATTTGATGTGTTCTGTTGGGTCTAACAGACTTTCTACAGGCTGCAGTGAGGCTGAAGTTGCTCCTCCTGATCTCCTCCTCTTCATCGTCGTTCTCTTCCTCACACTTCATGTGTCAGAATAACAAACACATATTGTTCATGTGACGTCCACTGGAAGTTCAGAGGCGTTTCTAACCAAATACAGATCATTTTTTTAAATGTAAATGAAATGTAAATGAGCGTGGAGGAGTTTGTGTCTGAGCTGTTGGTGAATTCGGTGCGTCTGTCACTTAAGAAGGAATCCAGCAGCGTAAAAACTTTTTGTGAGTTTTGTCTCAGCTGGAAGTGGAAGTTATGAACACTTTTTAAAAAAAAGATTCATGAATGAGGCTCAGAGTTTGTAGTGAAACGTCTCGTCTGTGTTTGACCCTTTAACTGAACTGAGGGTGAAGAGTGAGGAGAGACATTCAGCCGTGGCACAAAGGAAACGTCTTCAGTTCTTGAGCAGGAAAGTTTCTCAGAGGAACTTAAAGAACCGGTTTAAAGTGAACGTGTTTAAGCAGGAAGTCCAGCAGCTGCAGACAGATACACACACACACACAGACAAAGACACACCACACACACAGAGACACACACCCATGCACGCACACACACACACACACACACACACACATCACACACACACACACACACACACACACAGACACACACACACACACACACACACACACACAGACACACACACACACACACACACACACACACACACACACAGAGAGACAAACACACACACACACACACACACAGAGACACACACACACACAG